CTGGTTACCTAGGATCATAGAGAAGGCATTCTGTATAAATAAGAGCATGGTGTAATTTCCAAAACAAACTATAACCTAGGAGGAGATATAAACTATATATATAAAACTTAACTAATGTGGAAAGTATCTTTATTATTACTGTACTGATGAATCAAGTTTCTGAGGAGTCTCTTCTATACCTACAGTACACGAGAAAAGTGGTGGATTATAAACTTATTTGTGTAGTCACTTGGCTGTTCACCCAAGCAGGCAGAGCTGGTTAGAAACTGGGAAATAAATCTGAGTTAGAGTTGCAGCAGCTCATGGAGAAAGGGGGAAAGTTTGAGCATGAAGGCCTGCCGCCTTCTGCCAGCACATTCAATGGCGTGAAGTGTCCTCTGTCTCACCCTAAGAGATTCTCTAAGGCTCAGCAAGTGCCTTCTTAGCTGGCTCACCAGTGCTTCTGAATCAAGAGGGTGAGGGGGCATTCTTGACAAAAGATTGTCTAATATCACTTTCTCAAAATCAAATAGTTTTCAATGAAAATTCTGGATTTTCAGTTATGCAATGGAAAATACATCTTTTCTTTGGATAGCAGACCCTTTGCCTGTAACACTTCACCAAAAATATAATTTGAGTTTTGCGGATGCCAGCTATTTTACTTGGTTATTTTTGAGCCATCCTCTTGTCAGTTCATTCATCTCTCCTTTGTGATGTAGGAAAGTTGTACTGACTGGAATACTTTTTCTGGTTCATTCAATCCAAAAGCCAGTCAGGTAATAGATAGTGATGAATAAAAGCATCGTTTTCACATTTTGCAGTCCTTGTTCATAATCTAGAAGTAGTTTGTGCTTATTCATGTGTTTAATATTTTGTGTAATAATTAAATAGCTTCTAAAAAAGTAAATTTATGGGTAAATCACACTACAGAACAAGTACAGCACAGTGCAGGTGCCTCTTCAGCTAATGGTAAAACAAGTAGCACCAAAATCAGGTGTAGAGGTAGGAGTCATTCACAGCTACAAGAATTAGGGTAAAACATCCCTGGGCAAAATCTCTCTGATCGATGAGCCTCTGTGTCTTACTGCTTTTCACACATCCCTCTTCTTCTTCCTTCTTATTCAAGACTGGAGTCAGCTGTTGAAATAAGGTCTTAGGGAGCAGAAGCACAATTATTCAGAGGCCATAATTGTTAAAAAAAATCAGAAGAAAATTACAAATTAAAGTGGAATGATTGTCTGGTTCACTCTGACTTCCATTTTCTAATCATCCTAAATTATTTTAATGCATGTTTTCAAGCTCAAAATTAGCAAAGGTCCCATGATGTAATTCTCTTAACACCCATTGAATATTTCATTGTACCAGTCCAATTTCATTTCAGTCTTTGGCAGCAGCATCTGTCACTCAGGGCACATATATGGGGGTTTAGGGACCTCCCACCTGTTCTGTTTCTAGATAGTACCTTTAATACATGAAGTTCAGGAGTCATTGTGAAGTTAAAACCAATTTCTTACTTGTAAAGGCCTAGGAATATAAGATAAAAAAATAACTCTTAAAACATGTTTGTCTTTGAAATATCTTAAATTAATAATCAAAAGCTTGCATCAAGTCTAAAACAAATCAAGTTCAGTGGTGAAGATGAGAAATAGGAATTATTAACTGAGTAGCGAGGCTGATGGAGGCTCAATGAGATCATTTTGTTCAAAGATTAAAGGCGATGAACACTGAAATAGTTGAGGAAGATGGCAGTGAACACATCTGACTAGAGCTGCTAAATTCAGTAATGATCAAAAGTTAATTATCAAAGCAGAGAGAACTACTCAACACAGACAATTTGAGTCAATAGCTAAGCAGCCGAGAAAAGAAGTAATTTGGAAGAAGTATTTTCCTATAATGAAGTTATATAAAAGACGTACATTTCAAAGAAACCTGCCTAAAACAAGATTGCATTCTTCCTGATCAGAGAAAAATAATTAGCTCTAATTGACAGACCTGCTGCACACCAAATATTTTCAAACAATATGTTTCTGCATCAAAGCTTAAAGTGTAGAGTTACTCAATGTCACTTTGATTTTGCCTTCCTTTATCTTCTGCCACTGGGCATGCTCATGATATCTCAACAAATATGCTTTGAAAAATGAATGAGCAGCACCTACAAAACAAATAAAAACAGAAGGACAGATCCTGCATTTCTTTCTCTGATGGAATCCCTGATGCATTGTGTGCTGTGTTTAACATCCCCCTGATCCCACTCAAAGTGAATCCTTTGTAACAGGAAATGACCACTTGTCTGGTGATCCAGCATTAAACTGGGCTGGCATGTAGATTAACCCAAGAGCTTGTAATGGTTTTTCAGTTTTGTATAAGCAAGCATGTGTGTGAAGGACATTCCTCCAGCATGTGCCTCTTCTTAAGAGTTAGGAAAGTGTGATTTTCTTGTAACAAAGGAAAAAAAGAAGGTGGAAATTCTCCATGTAAAAATCTAGGGAAAGATATGTGCCAGAATGTTCACAGTCCAAGTAAACAAAATATATCTGTAGTTCTTTCTTCCTGAAGCTGCTACCTTTCTTTCAGGGTAAATGGTTGTGATAGACATAGCTAAGTGGTCAAAAATCAAACATGCAGTTTAGACTCTGCTCTTTAATATTCTGTGACTTTGACATTGCCAGTTCTCACTCTCTGAAATATCTTCATCTTCTTTAATCTTTCATGTAAGCAGTTTAGCTCACACCATCATGCATGGGCTGTCCAGAATATATTCTGCTGTACTCTGTATTAAATCAACTGCATTATCATTATTTACTTGTGATCCTAGACACTCTCCTCTCTGCTGTTTCCTCTTCCAATCTGTATTTTGATACCTGTTTTTGTGTAGTGATTTTTTGAATAATTCAGGGAAAAACCTTGATTTAGATGCAAGTTTCACATGCTTGAACTCAGAATTGTTAAGGTCCAGCTATTTGGTATATAGAAGAGTCAAGGAAAATACCACTCTACAGTCAAAAAATATTCTGACATTGTGGAAGAATGTTTTTGAGTTTAAAAAATAATTTTCATTTCCTGTAGGATAAGACTGAAACTTGGATTTTAGTGGGAAGTTTTAGAAACTAAAATGCCATTTTGGATGGTGTTTGAGTTCTTTTTAAATTAAGCATTTATGTGTTTTTACATGTAGTTTATTACTTAGGAAGTTTCTTAATAGCATAATTCTGACTCTGCATTTGCAGAGAATTATTGGAAAGAGACACAATCACATTATCTCGCTGTTGAGGCAGGGACCCCATTTCATCATAAGCTTGTTTGAGAAGGCATAATTAGGCTTGGGTTTCTTTCAATTACTTGTGCAATCTGAAGTTGAACATTTCCTGAGGTTTAAGTGTTTTATTTAGCACCCCTACTGTACAATTAATGTAATTGATTCCTATCATGCATTCGTTGATTTATTCTTTAGATGGAAAATATAATCCAAATGAAACAAATACATTTTTCTTTGCAAGTTGGGAGCCAGTGCAGAGGAATGCTCTTGCACCATCCAAACTCTCACAAGCTCTCATTCTTTCTCCTAAATTTTAAACTCATTATTAGGGATTTTCATGGATTTAAATGCAGATATTACCTTTGCTATGATGGGAGGCAAAAGTGCCAAACCAGCCGGTATTTTGAAAAACTAGCCCCATCATAGAGCTCAAGGGAAAATTCATTCTGGCAAAATTTGGAACCCAGTTGCGCAGATCCCAGAGGTTTCAAAAGTTCATAATTTTTCATAAAGGATTTAATTTGTCAAGGGCTTATATGAGCATTTTCTGAACCACTAATATTCACACTTCCTACGTAAGAACCATTTCATTTCTATCCCTAAGTATAGCAGAGGTTAAAGTTCCTCACCACAACCCTTCTCCTAAATGTCGGCAGGCTTTGTAAAAATACCTCTGGAGGTAATTAGGCACTAAAACTTTCCTTTCTATAATGGGTTTATGGATCAGTTGCCTTAATTCTGCCTCTCACTACTCTCTGTGCTTGTAATCTTACCAACCATCTGACCACTTTCCACATTTAAATCTATTACAGCCTTGTTCTGCAAACACCAGGAGGAATTCTCCGAAATGATACAACACCAGCTTTCTCTGCCAGTTTTATTTCCATCCCTCTTCCTTTAAAATATTATTTACCTATTCCCAACAAAACAAGAGGGGGATGCAAGGTCGGTTCAGATTACATCATTATGGCAGAGAAGCATTAAAGGGAAGAGTCTCCCCTAACATCTCGAGCAGCTTAAGCGGTGTGACAGACTGGCGCGGCGCTGCCATCGCTGCCCCCAGCTGTGTTGCTTAGCAACATTTTAATTCAAGAAGAATCGAAGGAGATGAAATCCCCGTGGAGAGGGAAACAGAAATAAGAGGGCCGTTGACAGATGATCTGAGTTGTTTCTTCTAATATACTGTGAAGATCACTGGCTCTTTTCATGAATGATAAATGGACTGTACACAGATCAATGGGTTCAGCAATAAACTGGAACCAGGCTCCATGTCTGAGGTGGTGCAGGCCGAGGGGCCCAAAGATTTACTCATTTAGATGATTTGGAGTGTGTTTTCTCAAAGGTTTCACAAGAGGAAATTGATCTGAACATTTGGTCATCTCTTGCCCTTTTCTGTTGCTGGTGAATAAAAACAGTTTTGGAAATGGAATCCTTTCTTCCCTCTATTTCTTCCTGTTGTTGTTCTTGCTCTTGATAGGCACAGATAGCTTGTGACAAAGGGGCCAGACCTCAGAGTGGGAAATGAAGTAACAGCCCTGAATGAGCAGTTGCTAAAGACTGGTGGCCATTAAAAATAAACAAACCACACTGATATCACAAACTGGGGCAGGAGCATTTCAGACCCAGCACTATCTCTCTGAATGGTCCTACATTCACCACCAGCCTGGGATGTTGCTGGTGAAGAGCTCCCATGAGCTGATGTTTGCTTGCTTTGGTGTGGCTCTTGCTTAATGATTTGTTTCCCCCACCCCTCTTGTGTTTACAGGCTGCCGAAAAGACAAAATTGAGAAACATTCCTGTAAAGTAAGTTATTTTTATATCCCTTTAAAAATGCAAGGTTAATGACACAGTTGTATACAATGACTAAAAAGACAGTAAGAGGAGTGATGAAGGAGATAATAGAATTCATGTTGCCCCTAATCATAGTAGTAAAAAGGTCAGTATCGTTGAGGAAAGATTTCGATTTCTCTTGTGTCCCTAATGATTGCACTCCTCAAGTTTCATCCAGTTTCCATAAATTAATGTGTTGTCTATGAATAGCTGCCAAATAATCACAATCATGCTCAATACATAGTGCTTCTAGCCTTGGGGAGGTTTGTACATGCAAAAAAGATTATAATTTTTAATTGCAATCCTCGAGAAGGTCTGACGGGGGAAATAACTAGAAATGTGCCAAATAATTTCTGGGCACATGGGAATCTTTTGCACCTATGTATCCAGGCTATGCTGTCCTGTTGATTAAGAGCTCTTTCTCCCTCTGTGCATGTGCCTCTCTCACACCATATACACACATGCATGTTTCTGCTCTTTGCACAGGGCTTTGTGAAGGATGAGCAAGCTACCAGGGAGCAATTTCAAGGGCATTTTATGATAAGTTCTTAAATCTTAGGGCACTAGCAGCAACACTCAACCATATATCACTGAATTAAGGAAGTTGCTGTATAGATGTCCTGGCTCTTTGAGAAAAGGCGCTTTCAGTTAAAGCTAACAGCATCAGTTATTCTGTTTAAATAATGAATACTCCAGTCCTAATGGGCTCTTATGTACCAATAAAAACACATATTTAAACTTCAGTAGGTATTCATAGCAGTTTAACTACGTCCCAGTAACTGTATATTCCTGTTAAAGACAGAGTTCTTATTTTTTTAGTAGTTTGCTGATAATGCTGACTTTTAGACTGGAGTGGGTTTGTGTTTGTAAGAACATGCACTGACAGGACTCCCCACTCATTGTGTTCTAGCCCACATAACAGAAGAGCACAGTTCTATTTGTCACTTGGATTCCATCATGTATAGTCATTTACACCTTATAAAGTGAACACAGAATGTGTATGAACACTCCTTGGAGTGATTAGGGGGTATGTCAGATGAACATAAATCACTCTCTCCTTATGTTTCATTCCGTATGATAAAAATTAGAAATAAGATCCAGCAAGGACCTGATAGCATGTGAAACTTATAATAAGACAAGGGACCTTTCTTGCCTGTAGGGCTAGTTCAAATTCAGTGCAAGCTGAATTAAAGTCATTGTTAACTGGGGGTTGCTTAATAGAGAGTGAAATGAGCTGTGTTTTCATCTCATATTATACAGGATCCAGGAGTTGCAAGGTGATGAAATTCCTGGGGAACAGCTCCAAAATAATAATTTATCATTCATACACTTTGTTATATATTTTGAGTCAAATTCTCAAGAATGACTCAACTGAATTGTATCTTCCCACTTTAACAGAGGCATTGAGCACTGCAATTATTAAACAGAATGTATGTGCCATTGATGTCAAATTAATCCACCAGAAAGATTTGGGAGTTGGGGAGAAAGGGTGATTTACATTGTTATATTTTATAGGACTTAAGTAAGGGTAATATTTTGAGATGGAAGAAGGCCAGATGGACAGTCTCACTCTTTCCACTTACATGTGTGTATTTCACCCTGTCATGTTTCCCCCAACTGGTTGTTTAACTTCTCCTTGACTATGTTCATGGTGGCAGCTTCAATTAGTACCCTAGGGGATCCATTATACACATTAATTACACTGTGCATAACAAAGCAGCTGAAAAATCTGCCTAGTTTTGTTCAGTGACATGTAACTATTTAAGGTACCTGTGTACAATTATGAGTGTATGCTAAAGCTCTCCAGGTAAAAAAAAAAAAAAGAATACTGTCTTTAAGATAGCAGTAGTAGCCATGGATTGCATTTATGTCAGAGCCACACTTAGTACAGCTCGGGCTTGGCCAGCTTTTAGTAGCTGCTTTTGTAGCTCTCAAATGTCAAGGAGAATTTCACTTGAATTTTAATGTTCTTCAGCTATGCAAAATAAAGTTAGTAGCTTCCATTGTCATAAGGGCTGAAAGCTGTACAGATTCCTTCTACCATATGTGACTTATCACATACATTTTTAAAAACACATTTTTATTATTAAGACATATGTGATAGTACACTTCTGCAAATGTGAATTGCTTTTGGCTAAAAGCCATGCACTAATAAGTAGAGTTGAATCTAACTGCATTTGACATCTGCTATAATATATATATTTTTTTTACATATATAAATATATATATAAAATATTCGCAGTTGTCATTAGCATAAAAAATTTCCTTGTTTTTACCTTGTGCTGACATAGTTCTTGTGTTCCAAAACTGAAGGAAAAATCACTTCCTTTTAGAGACTGTAGGTTATATAAAGTCCTTGGACAGAGCCAACAGTGACACCATTTAATGTATTAGTTTAGGAGCAAGATGAAGATTTCTATAGAAATGTTCTATTTACTTTTCATTGCTCAGTTCATTAACGTTGCTGGTGTAATATTTGGTAGGAGTTTTACTGTTCTTTTATGTTCTCTGGAATCCCTACAGCATTAAATAAGGCGGAAATACAAGGAATGGGGGGGAAAACAAGGAAGTTTTCTTTTTGCAGTTCAGTAAGGCAGTCAAGCAGCTGGTTTCTCAATGTCCAAGGGGATGTTGGTGCTCAGACTATTTTGTGGGAGCTTCCTGATGGCACAAGTAGGTGCAGTGGCACTTGGCTGCTTCAGAAAGAAGGCTTGGCTTCAATTCCGTGGTGCTTGTAGTACTGGAAGGCACAAGGCATTCTCAGAACTCATCTTTATGTATTGGTAGCATCATCTTACATAATATTGCTATAAATGAGCACTCAGAAAATAGCTAAGAAATCTCTGTATCTGCAGAACTGATTTTTTTTTTTCCAAAAGCATAATACCCTTTTCTGTCGATGTATGACACCAAGGTGGGTCCCATATTTGCTGAATCCATTACATTTAACTGGTTTATGCTCTCCTGGCCTTGTTATGGAAGGAGCATTTGCTTTTTCCCATTGGTTTTATCCGTGTTCACTCCAAGAGTCTGTGGTACAAAAGAGATTCTTGTAAAGTCCTACGTGCTTATTTACTTGCTGGTCCTTATCCATCTGTTCCTATCCCTGCATCCGAAAGAGGTAACATGACTTAAACGATTTCACTCTGTGGAGGGTTTCTGATTTCTAAAGATCTGTTACATGAGAGAAGGTTTTGAATTAGAGCAGATCCAGAGGAATTAATCTTTTATATGCCCTGTTATTTGATGCAAGAGGGGAAAGACAGTGATATCATTAAAACTCCCCCATAGCTTTGTTCTGAAACCCAGATTTCTTGCATAAACCTTAGAGGAATCATGTTCATGTTGACTTGGATCACATCACTTGTCCTGAGGTGGGCTGAGCTGCAGGATCCCCCCAAATCCAGGGTAGTCCCCACTCTCAAGTACAAATACACTTGGCTTGGAAGCCTCTACAGTAACATGGACTGGAGGTCAACCAGCCCACGGCTTCATGTCTGCCAGCAGCAGAGGTGGGGGGCAAAGGACAGCAATTACAGGGACCTCCTCCATGGGGAGTATCCTCCCACCTTCCTGCACACAGCATTTTGCACTTCCGCAAACACACATTCTGTGTTTAGGAGGCACCAGTGGACTTACTTTCCATGCAAAGTCTTCTATTAAGTCAGTTTATACCTCCTGTCACCACAACACTGTGTGACATTGAGCACCCCAGTGTGGGGGAAAACAATCTTTTTTGTTTGTTTTAAACCCTTTTCCTCATATTTTCACTGGAATCCACTCAAGTAGTTATTCTTTCAGAAAAGAGCAAATGATGAGTCACTGTTCTTCATTCCTGATATTACATCCCTGTGTTGTATAGACCAAGGAGTCTTCCTACTCCAGATCCACTAATATTGTGGATTAGCCCACCAGTGAGCTATAAAGACACAAGGCAAGTCTCCCTGCAATTGGAAAGGAAGACTCCGTGTCTGCTGTGTTGGACAGAAACATTGTTAGGAAGATAAACATGTTCTTTTCAGGTTTTCCATACAAAGAGATTAGTTGTTTGCATAGCAATGCCCTTCTGACTATGGACTGGATAAAATGTCACTCTAAACAAATGTCTCAGATTACAGTCGTTTGTGAAAATGGCCAGATGGATTCCTTGGGAAAATGTGGGCAGGTGAGAGAATGGTTTGGCTAAAACTTGATGTCATCCAGCACTATAAAATGCAAGGGTTTTGTAAGAAAGAAATTAGAATTTTTAAATGGAAAATGAATGCTCTTAAGAGTGTAGTCATGTAGTCCATGAAATTCTGTAGAACTGTGAAAATATTGGAAGCGACTTCTTGCTTCAGGGAAGAAAACATTGCTTTCCTTGAGTGTCCTTTATACTCCCTTCTTTTACAGTCCCTTTTAAAATCTTCAGTAGAAAGTAATGGCATTTTCCCCAAACACCTGCATATGCTTAAATTTGCTGTAGTTTTAATGACTTCCAGATACATGTTTTGAGATTATAGCTTGTGTTAAAATCCTGCTGCAAAATATATTTGTTTTCCATCAGCCACAAGTTTGTTAACCAGCAAGATTTCTGGTGTTTATTGTCTTTTCCTGCCATAAAATTCATCTTCTTCTCTGAAGGGCATCTGACTTGACTTGGTATGGTTTTCTGTCCCAACCATCATTGGAAATGCAATCCATTAACATTTGATATCTTGACATTTCAATTGACCTCTCATTTGCAAAGCGCAGTGGTATTTTTCGTGGCCTTTTCATCCTTGATTATACATGGGATAGGAGTGCCTGTTTCTCCTGACTGCACTTTAAAAATATCTTTGTTTTACCAGCTGGAGTGGCACCTTGGTTTTGCCTCCCTGGCTAGACCTTATTCTGCATGGAAGGTCTGAGGTCTAAGCAAGTCATGCAGAGCCAAAGGATTTTCTTATTGACTCACTAAGCAGGAGGGCGAGCAGGTCAGGCTCTGAGGGTCA